AATCTCTGGGAGCTGGTTCAATGATATCTTGATTGATTTCCCTTTGCACCTTTTCTTGAAGCGGAATTGGGACATGGCACTTCGTATGTTGAATTGGTTTTACGGCACCATTGATCTGAAGTGAAACCTCAAATCCCGTTATTTTGCCAATTTTGTTTTCTTCGGCATTCACCTTCCAAACGTCCGTGTTGATATTGAGGATTCCTAGTTCGGTGGCTGTATCACGAGTCAGCAGGCTTGCTCCTTTGTCGTTTACTACTACGACCTCAGCAACTACACTACATTGTTTGGTTGCAATGTCAGCCGTGAATTCACCAATTACTTGCAAATTGTTGTTTCCGTACGCTTATAGGGTTCGCTTGGTTTCTTTGGTTTGGAAGAGGACGTCAACCTTCTGTTGCTTCAAATACGACCATGTCTTGCTGTCAATCACATTTACTCCAGCCCCTGAATCGACGATCCAGTTGATCTTCACTCCGCCTACGCTGCAAACTACTTTTTCTCCTTGGGTATCATCCGTATCCGCTGCAAAAATATACTGAAGGATTCGCCGATTCCTTTGATTGCTGCGATGGTTTTCACTCTCATGATCCTTCGTCTTACAGCAACGCTTGAAATGTTCATCAGTCCGCATTTTTCGCATCTTTTGTCTTTAGCAGGACAGCATTCATCGTTGGCATAGTGTCCTACGCGGCCAAAACGAAATCACTCGTTTTTGGAAATTGAAATCTTGTTGATATCAGCCGAATGCTTCAGCTGCTGACGAACTTTTTCGATTGTCTCGAGAGACCGTCCTTCCTTTATTATCTCTGCCAAGTGTGAAAATCCGCCGATATTGGTTATGGGCAAATCACCCACGACCCAGCTAGTGAATGTTGAACTTACCCGTGCAGCAGCTTCAATCCAAATGGCCTTTTACCAACTGTCAGGAAATGTGTATGAAAAGTCATGGCGTGCCTAGTTATTATCCATCTCATATCTTCCCTCTCCTTTGGTATAAAAGTTATACAAGTTATAATGAATTACTGAATGCTGTCAATTTTTATTTTAAAACCCGTATTTCACTTTTGCACACAGAGAACAGACATGGAGGCTCGAACAAAATTTCTTTAAAAACTTGTGTAAAGATTCCTATTCGACTTAAGCGCCACTAACGGCGACTTCCCCACTTAAAAACCCTCTTTGACAACATGATGGCGCTGTAACCCGAACCCAGGGGAAATCGAATCCAGGGGAATGTAACTGTTGACTCTCCTTTTTGCTGCCTCATATTTGAGAATGCCTCGTGCTCTGCGGCCGTGTCGGTCATCGATCTGAAGTATTCGTCAACGTTTCTCACTAACTCTTCGTAACAATCCGGCCGGGATAAGCTGGGACGAAGCTTTGCCGCTCGAACGATGTTTTGCAGCTGCTCCCCCATGGAGAAGAAAAGTAGCTGCATTTTGCGCACTGGGTCCCGAGCATTGCTGAGAGGTAGAGGGCAATCTCGAAATTCTCAATGTAAGAATTCCAAGCCTCCCACATCTTGTTCGATGGGATGTCTTTTGGAAAAGGTTTAATGTTTTCCCAACGAACGCTGCATGATCCATACTCGACTGCAGAGGATACCGGTGCGTGGGAGCTGGTCCATGTCAAGTCCGCATCGCGGGCGGGTGGGACAGTTTTCGCTGGTCTCGTGGGTTCTTTGAACGCATCCAGAAGCTTTTCAAGCGTTTGCTCTAATTTTTCAATTCGATCAATAGTAACGTTGCCTACCGCTGTTCCAGGGGCGTTGTCCGACCGAATGGCTGTGCTTGAGAACAAGTCCGCTTGCCTTTCTCGAGCGTCAGTTTCGTCAATCGGTTGTTCTGTAGGATGTTCCATGCCACCTCCGCTATCTGATTCCGTGTTGCAGTCATCTTCCGAGCCAAACTCACTAGATGCTCCTTCGTGATCCGTCGGATTATCGCCGTCCTCTAGGCTGTCGCAACTTTCACTGTCCAATCCCGCGCTGCGTTCGTCTTCATCCGAATCAGACCCGTCAAACGGCGTTCGTCGTCTGCCATTTTCTTCCTCGTTTCTCCGCTCAAGGATGTATTTTCCCTCGTCAGCCATCTCGAAAATTCTGTTAAATGCCATAAAATGCTCATTAGTTTTCGTTGCCATGGTAATGATACCAGTTTTTTTGTTTGTTTTTTTTTTTTTTTTTGAACGGTCGCGTGCTATTTCTGTGGCCTTGCCACTGCGAGGAGACGATTTTTGCACATCCGTCCTCACTCGCATTCAGAACGGCCATCCCGGTCGCGTTCTTTCCTGTGGCCTTGCCACGGCGAGGAGACGATTTTTGCAAAAATCCGTCCTCACCGCATTCAGAATGGCCGTCCCGGTCGCGTTCAAATTTACGATTTTCCGTGCAAGTGGGTGATTTGCCCTTTATTACCTCCTGGCAGGATCGCCAGAAATGTGAAAATCCGCCGATATTGGTTATGGGCAAATCACCCACGACCCAGCTAGTGAATGTTGAACTTACCCGTGCAACAGCTTCAATCCAAATGGCCTTTTACCAACTGTCAGGAAATGTGTATGAAAAGTCATGGCGTGCCTAGTTATTATCCATCTCATACCAAGGTCATTCCTGGCTTCGTTAGTATTTTAGCTCGAGGTTCATCTGATGCTCCTTTTTCAAAAATTTGCTCCTTGATGTTCTCCTCAAGCCAATCACCGTACTCACACAAGTTTCCTTGCTCCCTTAAGCGGAACACAAACTTCGAAATTTTTTCATCGGGTTCCTGTTGCAAATTTAGGAAGATATGGTGCTCCTGCGGCAAGCACTTCATAGGCAGAAAGTGGTCATCAAACACTTTTATAGCCTCCTTGTAGGCATCCGAACCTGCAGGTACTTCTTGGTTTCCATCACCAACAAGACTGTCGTATATATCCTGCACACTTTCGCCGGCATAATGTAGCAAGTACGATTTCTTTCTCGACGGAAGTCCTACATTATTAACATCCAAAAATATCTTGAATGAACGCTTCCACTTTTTCCACCGGGAATTGACGTTAGTCGTATCGTCTGGATCAAACGGTGGCAATCCAACTCCTACTGGATTCATCTTCGACTCGTTTCGTTGCTGTTTTGCTTTTTGCTGCGCAATTCTCCTTCCTCAAAACTTGCTCGCTCCCCTTTTTCACTTAGAGGAATCACTTATTTTCGATCGCGAATTCAATCACCGAACGTATCACATAATGTCCTCGAAACCCGATCCTCGATCGCCAATGTTAAGTCCGAGATATTCTCAATAAAACTACGAATTTAATCGCGGAATACAAAATGCGTCTTTATTCGCGTTGCGTCACATACACTCTCCTCTTATTCTTCTTCTTCCTTTTTCCCTTCCCTCGAGGGAACCACCAGTGCTAATACACGGTTGTTTAATCGAACACAACAGTTTCAATTTGAAAATCAACAGTCAAAAGTATTGTTATCGACGCGTTGAAATGTTTCTGATCCATTGGTGATAATTTTTTTGAAATTTTCCAGGGGCAGCTAAGTTATTAAAGTTCAAAATCTTTAATAATTTCATTTGTCGGTTTTCATAAAGTGTACCCCCATCTTCCCGAAAGACGTAGTCCTACGTCAAAAAAGCTAACACAAAAATAACAAAATTATTTTAAAACCTTTCAGCGACGACAGTACAGAATCCGTTCCATCGAAAACGAAGACCTCATTACTTTTCCATAGTAATGAGGTACTACGACATGCACTAAGCAAAGGGCACGCAAGATCAATGTATTGTACGCATTGATTATGACCCGAATAGAGGGGAGGAAATCGTAGGGAAGATTAAAAAATGGGATCGCTTCTGAAAACGCTTTAAAAATCTCCTCAATATCCCTTTGAAGTTATCCTCAGAAATGTCCATTAAATTCTTTTCATAATTCCCTCCACATTTAACCTGACACATTCACCTAACCTAAGTGTTGGGAAAAAGGATTATACTCTAATTCACTGACAATTGGGTGACCAAATTTAATGCATGGTCAAAACACAGAGTTTTTTTTATAGTGATAACAAATAACAGACTAAAGTGGTAATTTTTTAATACGATAGATGAGGAGATGAAAGCATAGAGTTGTTAGTTCCGTTAGAGTACGGTAGTGTGAAAATTGTATATAGAAAGTAGAAAGCGAGCAAGGATAACTTTTTAGGAAGGTACAAATCGCTCCTTACCAATCTCCCCCGTTGGAGAGGGATAGTGAGGGGTATTCCCCCTTCGCCACCACTGACAAAAAGAGATGATCACCGGCTCGCTCATGTACCGACGATGTGTTTGAAACAGTTCTATCGATTGTACCACACTCAAGTTGTTATCTGAAGGAAGTCAGCTATTGTTACCTCTACCAAGGTATGAGCTGAAATCTTTAGATTATAACCAAAAAGAAACGAGATACTCAACCATAGTGATGAATATTCTTATGGGATTTCTCAACACTGCTCCTCTCAATACCATTGAATTCTGCTCAGCATCACTTCGATATATTACACAGAACTACATTGGATTACTCCTTGAAATTCTCCAAACAATCCCCTCCGAATTCTTCTCCTTGAAATTCAAGTCAAGTTTGGCAGTGATCTGGATTTGCGGGAGAATTATGAAGTTTGTATGGGAACCTAAGCAAAGCCCAGCTTCAAAATGACAGCAAACCGAAATCAATCAAACTTCAATTTCGTTTCGAACGAATTACAGAATAGGGGTGCATTGACATTGATTTCAGTTTAAAATGTGGGCAAATTTTATAACAAATTTTGTTTTCATTTTGCTGTACATTTGCTCTTCAAAAATATGTTGTTGCAGTTTTGTTTTCATTGCCTTAGCAGAACATCAAATTGATGTAAATAAATCCTGACTTAGAAAAATCCGTACTGTAAGAATCATTTCTGCAGTTAGTTATTCATCACGAAGTGTAATGTAGATAATTGTTACATAATTTCATCTAAATCCCAGCGTTTTATTCCTCATTCATCAAAGATACTTTCTACCGCAAATTTCTTCAACCACCTCATTTATCCAAGTCATGTGATTCTTCCTCAGATCGCGCTTTCTTCTATTCTTGGCCTGCATCAGCCTGGATCTATCTTTCACCAACTCCGAAAAAGGCCGAATCCGTGACTTGTACCGCACAAAGTATGGAACCCTGCTTTCCTCCGGCTTATCATACAAAATCTCTTTCAAGTGCCACTGGATCGATTTCGATTCATTTTTTTTCACCATCACTACGGACGACGACGACGGCGACGGCTTCTTCTGCTTCCGTTCCTGCTTCTTCCGCTTATCTTCACGATGCAATCCTTTGATGTACATTCGAATCGGACTCTGCTCGGTGGCCGTGTGGACCATTTTCGGAAGACGTGGAATTTTGACCTTCGGTAGGTTTAGTTTCTCGTGCTTCGTGTAGTGGCCGAGCCAACGTGACCATTCCAGTCGCGTCATGCAAGTGTGCACTACCGGTTCTAATGCCTCATCCTCATCACCGGCCGATTTTTCTTCATCGCTTCTGTAGTCCGCAGCACGGTACTTCTTTTTCAACGGCAGGTCCTTTTCAGGTACATCGATTTTCAGTGCAGCCCTCTTGTAATGCTCATCAACCAATACAGCTTCATCCTTCAGCTCCCGTCTGGCACGCATTAGCTTGTCGTTATACTCCTCGAACTGAACCTTCGTTCTGGGAAGGTTCATCGGTTCCAGTTTTATGGATCTATTAAGTTCGTCTAGACGTTCGGAGAGCTCTTTCCTGATTTGATGCTGGCGTTTGTTAAGATAATCCTGCTCCGGTAGGTTCCTCAAAATCGCCTCCTCATCCAACGGCTCCGGTGATTTGTCACGTTCCGCTTGAGCCTTCTGCTCTTCCATGTCCTTTCTTTCATACCGATTCCACATGTACTTCCGGACTCGCTCCATGTATGATTGTTCTTGAACGCACGCCTTGTCTTCAACGTGAACTATCTCCGTTGCTATACATTCATCGATTGGCGCTAGGATCTCTTCTGTCGCGGATCGAAGTACCGAATCTGCATCAACCGTCTCAACCGTACTGTCAGACGAAATTTCCCACGATTGCACCTCTTCTGGTTGTCTGTTCTTTTCTTTCAGGTACTCTTCATACTGCCGCGTCTTGAACAGCTCCTTCCTCGCACGGAAGAACGATCGTTTGCATTCCTTAAGAACATCGTTCCGCTTCGGTCTCTCCTGAAACTCCTCCCAACTGAGCTCACACAAGTCTTCCTCGATATCGGAGTCACTACTCTCATCTTCGTCGGAGTTGACGTTATCCGCCAGAACAACACTTTTAACAGCCTTCAGTGTGATTTCACTGATTTTCGAAGGTTTCTGCTTAACGCATAGATCCGAAGGAAGTTTCTCGGTGATGGAAAAAGTACTGGCATCCGTGACCCGTTTATGGTAGATTTCGTCTATGTGGGTTCGCTTGTGGAATGGATCCGGCTTTGACTGGTGGCATGGTTTCCGTGCTGGAACGCCTAGCCCTCCCAGTTGGCTATGATAGGCCGGGAGGGCCTTAAATGGGACGTCGAAGTTTTGAAAGTCATATGGACGGTAGACGGCTGGAGCTTCGCGGTTCCATTGCAAACGAGGAGGAACAGTGGAACGGGTAGTTTCGTTGTAGGGGACGTTGAGGATGGTTGAGCCACCGGGGGTTGATGCGCTGGAGCTTGATGATTCGGTTGAGGTAGATGAGATGGTGGGATTTATAGATGAGCTAGACTTGCTGGATGTTGTTGGCTTGCTCGAGAAGGATCGGTACAGACTCGGGGAGGAGTCGGTCCGTAGGCCACGGCCATACTGGAAGTGTTTTTGAGTGGATGAGGAAGCGGGTGACCCTCGCGATGACATGTTTTCGAATGGCGCCTCGCTCGCAACAATGCCTACTATGATCAAGCAGCTTCTCTTTAGCTGATTCTACAGAGGATGGACACAACATTCATGAATAGGCTTTCTGTAGACTTGTAATGGATCATTTTCCACACTGGTCACTCTTGGAACCACTGTGATGCCTCAACGGGAATTTTTTTTCTTACACCAAAACATGCCGTTCGACAGCTTTTTCTTCATATTTTTTATGAATAGGCTTTTGAAATGGATCATTGGCCATATTGACCGCTCTTGGAACCTGTATCAGGGGATACAAGCAAATTTATAGAGAATACTGATTAACATTCCAACTACATTCTCCAAATAACTCCACAACGGTTTTGACTAGAGAGCAACGAATCTAAACACATAAAGCAACCAACGATACAGACAAAACGGTTGCTACGACTACCATGACAAACTCGCTCTGTAACAAAGCTCGATCCGAGTGGTAGAAGGATAATGATATATTGCTTGCCTGCTTTGTTGCAATATACACGGATGAGGACATAGCTTGATATGAATCGGCAAAAGACATAACAAAAAAATTCCCATCAACACACGTGTATCATCTTCGACTTTACTTCGTGAAGCAGCTTGCCAACAATTGGCTCGTTTCCTTCTACCGCCCCGAATGAGTCGGGTCGCACGAGCTGCTTGTCATGAAAAAGAACGGTGAAGATTATATCATTATTGTTTTCAACTTCTGACAAAGCGTTATTATTCGGTTCGTTGATCGCTTGTTATTTTGTCATTTGGAGATATTTTTGATTCCTTGCTAGAGAGGATCTAATATAAGAGACGGAGTGGACTGGCTGGATTTGAGCCAAACGAACTGTCAAAGCCAGAGCAATCGAGCAGCGCCTATCTTGATTACATTGGCATTGTTGCAAGGGGTTGGTCACTCTACACAGTGAGCCAAAATAAAACTTGGGCACACCCAGGTGCAGTCATATGATCTTTAGAGTTATTAGCAACACTGAACTTTTTCTGCGCCTGCGCAGTGTGCATGTGTCAAAGTTTGTTATTGATGTTGCCGCAATACAAACCAATTTTTTACAAACCACAACCGTGAATCTCCAACAAGTCCGACCAGTGATTCTCCAAAATCGAATTGAATTCCACAAAATACAATCAGCGCACATCCTATTGCCTATCCGAAGAAGAAGGTACATGAAAAAATCAGGGCAATCGCTTGCATAGCAACATCACTCAATCAAGCTCAACATTACCGGCTCCAGCTCCGTTATTAAAGTAGTTACTCAGACTCCCGTGACCGGAGGAAAGTACGTCCCACGAGCGGTTCTGATCAACCTTGTGCCGGAAATTATGGATTCGGTCCGAGCGGGACTATTTGGACAGCCGAATAACTTCGTTTTTGGACAGTCCGCTGCTGGTAACAACTGGGTCAAATGACACTAAACCAAGGGTGCCTAAATGGTGGATTCTGTGCTGAATGATGTCCGTAAGGTATCTGAAGGTTCACCGAAGCCAAGAGCAACATGAACGACCTGGTTTCGGAGTACCAGCAGTACCAGGAGACGGCGATTGACGAGGAAGGAGAGTTCGACAAAGAAGAGCAAGGTGCCGACGAGTTATGATAGATACACATGGTTAAAATGGTCGTTTTTATTATGCTACTGTCAATAATTGCAGAAATAAGATCTGGTTGTATTAAAAAATAACACTGTTAAATTAATTATGTTGCAAATAAATTGCAGCACCGTGCAACACAAACACAACGCAATTGGCAAATTTTTCATCAAAGTTCCCTTTTAGCGGAATGAAGCGCATCCCACTGGCCAAATAATACTTTGACTGTTTGTCCAATGCTTCTGCCCGCCAAAAGGCACAGGAAATGTGCCCTCTTCATGTGAGTTAAGGTAATTAAATTGAAGTAATCTACCTTCCGGAAACACTTATCCGGAATATCAAGCAGTAAATCTACTTTCAGTGACTTTCCATAAGATGTTCCCAAACGACTGGATCCAATATGGTGCACGATCCGTTGCTGAACGAATATGAAGCTTCCTTGGCAAAAACATGCGAGCCGTCGGGAAATGCCAGCGGAAAGTCAACCCCTTCATAATCCACATCCTTCAGAGATCGTTCATTGCCGTATCTTCTACAGTCCTCAAAACCTTGAGGAAATCGCTTAACCAACGCTCAATATAATTTAACACCTTGAATTTCACCTTCACCTCGCTTAGCATCTCTTCCACTTGCAGCCGGAACAGATTCGATTGGTTGAAATATTCCGTTTCCTTCAACCGATTGATTTCCTCTACCATTGGCGGTTTGTACAGCTGCTTCCGTTGGTGTTCTTCGTCTGTTCGTCGCGTGGAATGAGCACTTTTCGATTCCGAAGTTGTGACTAGCACAAAGCGTCTACCGCTGACACTTTTCGGGTCCAGCCGCCCAAAATCGTCGTCGTCAATTGAGTGCTCAACTCCGGCACACTGAGGTACACTGAGAAAAAAGTTGGCACAAAATAAGTGTGTAGAGTGACGACCCCTTGTATTGTTGCTAGAAGCCAAAGGCATAGGGTTCCAAGGCAGTTTGTTTTCAATCCGCTCCTCTCTTATGCTAGACCCTCTCTAGTTTAGACATGCATGGCAACATAATTGTGATGAGACCTTGGCCACCTTGGCTGAACACATCAAAATATTTTATGATATTTTGGCTTAAAAACAAAAGTATCCGAAGAACAAACATTGTTCAGGACAAAAAACTCTGCCATTTTGGAAAATACTTCAATATTTTCGTTGATATTAAAAATATATTTTCAAATATATCTATGTTGTCTTGCCCCTTCTATGGATATCAAATTATCAACAGCCTTACTTTGGGAATGCTAACGAGTATCTAGTTGAAAAATTGACTCAGCATTCTGACGAGGAGCCCAAAGTGATCGTAAGGAGGATTTCAGATCGTTAAGCAGATTTCCAACAGTATTTTAAAAAAAAAATCAAAATTTTGTTTACAGAGTGGGTAAAAATTACACACCTCTTTTTTCTCATTATACAGCTCGTATTTGACAGATGCTAAATTGAGCACACCTATTCAGCTTCGGTTCATTGTAAACACACGTGTATATTTTCGTTAAAATACGTTCGCGTGTATTACCACAATTAAGCCAAGTCTATTACGTAGTGCATGAAAATCCTCCCGTTTGTTTTGTTAGGATGTTTAAAATGCTAAAATTAAAAAAAAAATATATACAATGATTGATCAAGTATTATTCTGAAGATTTGAAACTGTTCCAAAATTCAAATATCATTTCTCAGATTTTCTTTCATGATTATGAAGTATTTGAAAGTTCTTCAACTGCTCTAAGATATTAATCAAGCATTATTTCAGAGATCTTAAATTGATGGGAATCAGATTTTTAATCTGCATCCTAAGTAAGTATAATAATAAACAGCAATTTTGACACGCCCTTGTCCGGTGACCATGGCTATTTCCGTGTCCATACCAAAAACCTATAACAGTTTTCTAGTCAAATGCTTGTGGATGAACAATAATCGAACGACGCTCCAAAATTAGCCAAACATTTGCCTATCCTAGTTATTTTGCCATCCCCTGAACATACAACAGGTATTGCCTAGGGTATTGCTTTTTTCTACGAATTTCAATCAGACCGCTACCCACTAGAGAAGGTATAGGATCCTCACTATTATCTACCACTCTGGTACCCAGTATTGGGAAAATATAAAAAAATCGAATCTCACCAATACCCATGATCACGCTTGATTTTCGCCGAAAATTACAAGCTGTGATATCGTAGCTACGAATATCAACCTAAGAAAACTCACCAGCAATTCTAATGATACCGTGGTGAGTTTGAGTTTCATGCAAGGGGTAATCAACTCTCCACACTGTACCGAAACACAGCATGGCACACTTTTCGGCTCTTCAGGACAAACGTTGGCAAATAGGCAGCGTTGCCAGAATGTTTTAAAGTTTATCGGTATCAAAGGTTTTGAAAATCGGTATTTATCGGTATTTTCTATTTTAATTAATGTTATATTTTTGCCGTTTTTGAAAGCGAAAATTTTAACTTTTTGACTATGATCGGAAAATTCCGGAAAAAAATTCCGGGGAAGGCTTGAATTAACTTCTGGAGGAAGCTGAAAACAACATCCAGATAAAGAAGAAAGAAGCTCTACTGGAGGAAATTTGCGGAAAGTTCTGAGAGAAGTTGGAAAAACATCCGCGGAACTTCTGGCGAAAATTTAAAGAAACTTTCAGAAAAATTCAGATTTCACATTCGAAGGAAGACAGAAAAGTTTTGGAATTCGGAAATAAATTCCAAAAGTAGCCATTTCCAGGGGAAGCCAGAAGAAACTCGGATAAACCTTCCAAAAGAAGTAAAAAAAACCAACTGGACAAAATTCCAGTACTAGACGAATAAAATTTCTGGGAGAAGTTTAATTGAACTTCCTAGAGAAGACCGAAGAAACTTCCTGGAGACGCTGGCAGAAACTTCCTAAGGTAGATAGGAAAAAAATCTGGAGAAAGGTGGAAGCCAGAGCGCTTACGGAACAGTCGAAAGAAACAAGGACATAATTCCGGAAGAAAGAGCTCCTGGGGGATGTTCTATTAATCCAGAAAATTTTCCCTGAAGACCCCGCAATGCCCCTGAAGTTTTTGGAACATTCCTGAAATGTACTTAGGAATATTCCATATTTACTCGGGATGCTTTGGAATACTCTGATCATCTTTGAAATACTAAGAACTTCCCTGATTATAATGAGACTACCGGTATATCTCAAATAAACTTTGAAGGTCTCTAGACTTTCTTAAAGATTTCCAAATATAAGTGCTCTCACAATTTTTTTGAATTTATTGTAACATCAGCATTAAAGTTCTCTGATCTTCCCGATTTTTCTAATGTTTAAAAGTGATCGACACTGCAATTAATGAGCACGAAACTCATGTTCTAATGTTCGTGTAACTTCCCTTACGTTTCTTAAATTTGCATGAGCCCCTCGGAACATTGCTGAAGTTTTCGGAAATTGCCTGAGTTTCTCAGAACTCCTTTAAAATTTACGATTTCCTTGAAATTTATTGATCTGATCTGATTGTCCTGATGTTCTCAGAACTTCCTAAAGTTCTCTTAATTATCTTGAAACTAATGGAACTGTTCTGAAAACTATTAAATTTTCCAGAAGTTCTTTGGACTTGTGAAGTATCCAAAATATTTATGATGTTTCCTTAAGTTCACTGGTGTTCGCTGGACCGGGTTTTAGAATTTTAGAAACTTACTCAAAAGTCTGGACTTTTTGAAGTTTCCGCTGTGGATCCGCAATCAAAATCTAAAAGCATCCCTGAAATTACGGGAAGAATCATTTGATCGAAGGCTCTAGGAGCTTCCAAGGGAAGTCGAAATAAGTTTCCGAGAGGAATCGTAAATAGAAAATTCCAGAGGAAAGTTGGAAAAAAATACAGGAAGTTAAATAATGTTTAAAAAGTATTTCCCGATTCCCCCGAAATTACCAGAAAGAGCCATCGACTGGTTATCGATTCACGGAATGCAAAAACGGTGAGGAAATTGAAACATTAATCGAAAGAGTATCCATACGACATTTTTGAAGATGATTTTTTTTTAGAATTTTAAAGACTCAAAAAATTTGAGATATTCAAAAAGATACAAGTCTCACACAATAATTTTCTCCGAAATTCTTAGCGCGGGCAGGCAATAATCATTTTGATTATTTAAAAAAAATCGGCATAACACCTCAAAAATCGGTATTCTGAGGAAACTTATCTGTATATCGGTATCTACACAGAAAAAAAAGTTGTTGACTTCTTTGTTTACTCCATTGAGCTTCACATTGGGTTCTGATTCCAAAGAAAAATGAATCTAATGTCGTTTTCATTTTTGCGGTGCAGCACTGGTGTAGTGTAAGCAGGAATAAGCGCGAATCTTTGACAGCTCAACATCATTTATTTGTAAACAAAGGTGCATGCATCCTATATCTACACCCTAAAATATTTCGGTGTACGGCAGTGTAGCACCGGTGTAGCTACACCGCAAAAACGAAAACGACATAAGTTTATCTCATCCGATTCGTAGCGAAAATCCCAGCAGCTCGTGGTTTCGTCTAAAATAGCTTCACGCCAACAGCGTTCTTCCACACCATGGTCGGTCGAGAGGGTCGATATCGAGGGTCACGATGGCCAAAATGGGTTCCCTTCAGCAACGATTAGTCAAAAGCCTGTAAGATCGTCCAGTACGATCTTACGGTGCGGCGCGGAATGCGATCGACGAACTGAATGGACAATAATCCTCTGAACGACGACAATATTGTGCCAGCTGCGAAGGATTTTTGTTTCGTTACAAGGTTGTTATGCAGAACGATAAAGAAAAAAAAAAAACACGTCATAGGGATGTGTGTGATGGGTTTTGTACTTCGGTCAGGTTTGAATCCCGGTCTTGCCAAGGGTCTTACGGGATGAAAGTTTTATCGTTTTCTCCTACGTTTTTCCTTAGGTATCCTTGCCAGTCATTGGTTTCAATTGGTGGACTTCGATGGGAAATCCACAGGGCTTTATAGGGATGTCCATACAAGTCCCAGTACTTATTGGGGGATGTCGATACGTATTAACCCCAAATATTCCATCTGGTCTGGACGATTGCCTTAGCGGAACAGTATAGCCATCACCCCATCACCAACGATCCAATCTCCACTCTTCTGTTGCACTAGTTCGTCTCAAAAAGATCCGGTGCGATGGGTGGCCTACCAATCAATCAATTATAAGGTCTTGCTTAATCTCGAAAGTGTATGACGCATGACGGCAATTAGTAATTTGCTGTTCGGCAAGATCCCGTGGGCGTGCAGATGAACAACAACAACAACCACAGGGTACAGTTGAACTGCAGATGCGAAGTTTATCGGGATCGTGCATCATTTCCGAGGTATGCCAGATATGACATGGGGGGAGGGGGGACATTTGATGGTTTTCACTGGTGGTATATTGGCCATTGGTTTTGATTGGTGGTACCACCTTGTGGAAGGTATCACATCTGCAAAGGATCGTGAACTTGATAGGCTTGAACGTGTGTAATTTGGTGATAGTAGGCGACATCACAATCTGCGATACGATAGGCTTGGGTCATGTCTTCGAGGTTGCGTAGATCTGAGTCGATCAGAACTGTTTCGAGGATGTTGTTTCTAGGGTGGGAGTGATTGAAAATGTTAACACAATCACAAAACTCTAACTTCAGGGTTGTCAAACTTATGGGATATTAACACCTTGATTTATACATTTTGGCCTACTTTGGAATGATCGGCACAACGCTTGGCACAGCTTTCGGCACTGCCAAAACTTGGCACAGATTAAGGTGTGCAGAGTTGGTTTCATGACTTTTGGTTTACATCCGAACGCGGCCTGAAACTATCGTCACTGCTGGCAGCAGTACCTTCATGTCGGCGAAGTGTAAAGAGAGATAGCGAACTATACTTTATCTTTTGAAGAAAACGATGTGCAACGGAATCATTTTTCAGTCGAGTCAACTCTCAGCTTCATTTGCACATGTTGTAAATAGTCTTGTAACATCAAAGGAGCTTGTAAAATTAATATTAAGCATGATGGTGCCAACACTGCTGGCAAGTCATAAGCTACATTCCTCTTGCATTTAAATACAGCTGATATAGATTTCGAGTGTGTCTTAAACCTTTCTTTCATTTTTATTCCCTCCATTAGTATTCAATCAAGGCGACGAAGGACGCTCCTGGTACATCCTGCTCAAGGGTTCGGTGGACGTGGTCATCCACGGCAAGGGTACCGTCGCGACGCTCAAAGAGGGTGACGATTTCGGAAAATTGGCCCTCATCAACGATGCTCCCAGGTAGGTTCCTCCCGTAAATAGAAAATAAATGCAAATATGTCAGATGTGATGAAGATACAGATAAGCGTGATGAATAAGGGGTAAAAGCACCATGATGTCACCGTAACGAAGGTTAAGAAAAACTTCCAAGAAGAAGCGATTAATTTAATGAGTGAGGGATCTGTCTTTTTTCGGAGGAATTTTTCCTTTTCGTAGTTGTTCTTAAATTTTAGTCGCCCCCAAGCGATGGTGTGGATCGTGCCATTTTCTTTAATTATAGAAAAATAGCACTCACGGTGGCACAGACGGGGGAGACCCAAAATTAATCGCTTCTAATAGGTAATTTATGCGGTGACGAACCCCGAAGGGAAAATTGCACTAATTGGTCTAATGGGTACTAATTTTTCGCGAAAATTACCGCGTACTGTTGTATATGATTTTCCATGTAAATTTAAGCTATTTTTTAATAACTTTTTGACCTCGCTTCCATACCGACTAACCGCAATTTAACCGGTTTTTTCTCACCCGAAACCAACGACCGCAGAGCGGCAACCATCGTGCTCAAAGAGAACAACTGTCACCTGCTGCGCGTGGACAAGGAACACTTTAATCGAATCTTGCGAGACGTTGAGGCCAACACGCTACGGTTGCAGGAGCACGGAAAGGACGTACTAATCCTGGAACGGGTCGCGAAACAGCGAGGACACTCGGCTTTCAAGTAGGCTTCCTCATCTCCCTTGTTCGCCGGTGGCAAATCCCATAAATTGCATGTTAAACATTCGCTTTTCACTTAATACTCGCTCACTTCCTTCACCTGCCTTGTTCCTCCTTAATCCTTCGAATAACATTTATAGGTACGAGCACGCTAAGGATTAGAGAACGCTTGTTTTCATGTGATTAAAATTAATCTTAATCGCTTTTTTGTAGCAACAATTTATGCCTCCTAGTCGCCAGGTAGCTTTAACGTGTATTTGCATTCGATCCTATCTAGCCGAGGCTCATTAAAGTCAGTCGGTAAAGAGAAAGCTATAAAGTCGATCCGTGTTTGTTCGGTTTAGAAAATTGCTCGTCTTCTCCGGCGTAACTGAAAGTGCTCAAAGGACGCAGGTGTTAAATCCCAGCTGGGATGTAATAGCCAAAGAAGAAGAAAATTTACGGACGCGAAGAGGCAAATATACGTTAAAGAAAAACCCAGCTCGATCAGTAACCTTTAACCGGCGGTGGCACAAGAAAAATGTCACTTTCTTTTCGTAGAAAATCCTCGCCTCCGCTTGTTTAATGAGGGCGACCCATATTTTAGCTCACCCCAGTAAAGTCAACTTACGATTATCGCGATGAAAAATATGCAACAGAGACACACCCCGACAAGAAGGGTAGGGATTGCTAGGATTCTGTTGTGCAGTAACCAGTTGGTAGGGTAATTTGAATGTTTATTATAGCAAAAAATTAATATCTTTCAATGGTGAAAACGGTAAATTTTCCTTTACAATGGGAGGGCTTCTACTGAACTGAGATCGTATAGGAACATAAACAATTGGAATATACTTTAATGAATGAGATATGCAGTTTAATCAAGTTGGTGTCTTTATGAAAGGTTCGTCCATAAAGGACGCTACTAGAAAATTCTTACTTATTTTCGGAATAGTTTACGATGATAAAATATTCTACGTTGTAAGTTGTAGAGTTCATCATTTCCATAAACTTAGCCGAATACACCACAATGGCATTCATTATGGCTGATATTCCTATCTAGAGCACAAATCTTGGACGATGTTGACATCACTCATGAAATTGGAACTCCTTGTGGATTGCACTGCAGCAAACGTGAAGTTCCAGTTTCATTGTTGTATGTTTTGTGAGAGCTGATATTTGTGCTCTGGAAATTTTGAAGTGGTAATGAGGTTGACCAGAAATAATGTTTCCACATTCACCTTCAGAATGCTCAAAAAAATGTGGACGCGCATGCATCATTTGGCACAAGAATATAGGTCGTAGAGGAAATGATGTAATGTCCCTAATTTGGGCCCATACATTAATTCAGCAATCAACTGAAGTTTCAATGGCGACCTAAAATATGCATTAGTTCCGTCCCAATTGCGCGTTCATCTAGATAAAATTGATAAATAGCAGATATCTAGCGTTGAGCCTAATCTTTCATCCATAGGCCAACATTGAAGCCATTTCCCCTATCTGTGGTGCGAAAAAATTGATTTCAAATTACAATTTACAGATTAAAAATTGCAGTACTTATCACTGAAAAAAATGGATAGTTCCTCTATTTATGCTTTATGATAAGCATTGTAAGTTCCTCCTTAGAGAATTATACAATGGAACGGCCCCCATCAGCAAAAAATCCGGGAATTATAAGCCTTACATAGCTAATCTAAAAGCATAAATATAGGTATCCCGTTTGATGATTTCAGTGTTTGGTAGTGAAAACTGTAATTACGTGGTCTTGTATAATAAATCTTACTTGTTAACTGCAGCAGGAGCTTGCGTTTTGTGTAGGAATAGCAATTTAAGCTGGGTTCTCTCTGTTTATACTCTTTAGTATGACGCGCTTGACATATATGGCCCACAGCGACTCACGAAGGGCTACTTTTTCCTTGCTGCTTGCAGGCAGCCTTTCGTTGTGTACTGGAAAACAGCACCACTCATCAAGCGGTGATTGAATAAACACCATTTGGTGAGACCAGCTGGAATTCAAATTTGAAATCTGTGTTAGGGAATTCGCTTTTCGCAGGAAATCGGTGATAATTTTAATTAACATAGCAGCAGTTGCACATCCGTGCAATTTTCAGAAGTGGCATTTTGAAAAAAAATATAGAAAATTAGAAGTTAGAAAGTAGGAAAATTTCTGATTGATTGGTGATAAAATTATTGCAATTGGTCCCTGAGTTATTAACGTTCAAAATCATTCATAATTTTGTTACATGTTCCATTTTAAGTTTTCACAAAGTGTACCCCCATATAGAAATCACAGACATAGCCCTACGTCAAAAATAACTCAGTTAAAAGATGTACCAAGAATTGATTGATGGGATATCAAGCGAAAATGTTCTGATCACGAGATATCAACGATCAATTGCGAAACTGGCCACCACGTTTTTTGTGCGCTTTTTTAACGCGTTCTGAAGAAAGCCCTACCAAAATATTAAAATGGAAACATATTGCGCACTTCACACTCAATTGGACTGCACAGTTACAAAGTGCAACCTACAAAAGTGTGATCTGTCAAAATCTGACACATTCATGACAGATCAAACTGTCACCACTTTGTTTTGCCAAACCTAACCGATCGTCGATTCGCTTTTCCTAATGTATATTCTGTGTTTCCGGTGTTTCCACTCAGAACTGAAAATTAAATATTTAATAGTAAATAATTTACATTTGTAGTGTCCTAGCGGCGCCGGTGGTGCAGTGGTAAGCGTGATTACCTCTTACCCCAGCAGGCCTGGGTTCAATACCAGTCGGCGCCGCCGGGATGTTCTGAGGCATAACATCTCTGATCACGCCTTCCTTCGGATGGGAAGTAAAGCCGTTGGTCCCCGGTTCATGAGTTGATGGGTCGATAGGTAGGGTCCAGGTGTGGGAGCTGCCTTTCTGGCACGTCGGTAGCATTGGTGCTCAGCACGGAAAACAAGATCGACGGAAAAAACAAACCAAAGAAAAAAAAAAAACGCTATCCTACGAAATGTGCAACAAAAAGAGCTTCTACGAACACAAAGCTTCACTGCCTTTACGGCTATTACTTTCTTGGTCTTACAAGGGCAAAGCTTGCGATCATTTACCGGAAAAGCAAATCTACAATCAGCAACTGAATTTCCTCACATGAAGAAAACGGTCTTGTGGCCACCAAGCAGTGGCAACAGATAAACCGTAAGTTTTCCGCAGAACAAAGACGATGGATAGTGGAACTTTACCACAAGAACCCGGTTCTTTATTTGGATGAATGCCGAGACCTTTTCCAACGCCAGTTCAGCGAGAAAATAAGTGGAGCAACGGTTTGTAGAATCCTGCATGCCGAAGGTTTGACCTGGAAGGCACTGGACCGCAGGGCAATGCAGATAAAAGAACGTGAAATTCTACGATTCTGTTCTGAAATGAATACTTTCGATTGGGATATCTATTATCTTGTGTTTCTTAATGAGGTGTCATCGGATAACAAGGGTGTATTACGAAATCGGGGCTACGGAGCAAAAGGGAAACGATTGATATATCTAGGAGAGTTTGTGCGACGTCCAAGAGCATCATTTTTTGAGTTTTCTGGGACTTCACGGTGTGCTTGACAGTTTGGAAACCGAGGGCACTTTTACTCGAAAGATATTTTTTGAATGTTGTGTAGCGGCCCCGAGGCAGCTACGGTGCTGTTGTTTGTTCCCGATAGGTTTCATAAACGGATGGCTTAAGCGCCACCTCCGAAGAGGACCACCTGTCGTGTTTCACGATGCCCGGCTAGATACTGGCCAAATGAGCCAGTTCTCAAATTCGTCAACAGTGTCGGGAACAAGACCAACTGAGCCGAGTGACTCAAGAAAGGAGAGAGCATACCCACCGAAATCCCAAGATCCTAACTACCGAGTCCGAAAAACTTCCAATCCCGAAAACCAATCCGAACAGGGGTATCATCACAGGAAGCAATCCCTCTGACCCATCAACTCGAGCTTGATTTAGAAGACGAGTAACACAACAAATTCAACGGAAAAAGACTAAACATGATGAACGAAACGTGAAATAACCTTCAGACTCTCTCAATCAAAACTTTCTAACTGATTAATTTTGGGGAGTGAACATTCTACTTTTATTTAGTTTATCTATAGGGTTTTTATTCACATATCTACAATCTTGGTTCTGGCCGGCCTAACTACTGTTCCCCTCTATCTTTCTATCTGACTAGTGCGGTCGATGGACTATTCGCCTAGCGCGCTATCATTCTGTGTCCGTGCTAACGGCCTTGCATGCAAGTGTGGGTTCGCTACTTACAGGATTTGAAGCTTACGTTGGCGAGCTTTACGGGCTTTCGCCCGACCGATGCCGTCGTTACAACGACGGCTGATGTCCTCCTACTGCGCTTGAAGTTTCTTAGTTGCCGAACTCAGTCAGCGGATGGTGGCTTGCTGGACGTTAGCCGGAGGAGTGCCTTGGTAACGTAGGCAACTCCCTTCGGATAGGCAACCGGGAAGCTTTGATACCCGAGCGTGGTAAGGGTTGGCGACAATAAGCAAAGCCGCGGTGCGAGGCAGCGCTATTGATCAACGGTCGCTTTGTTGGCTGTTGAATCCTATAGAAAGCGAACACGCGGAAAGTCGTTGACCGTGCAAACGACACAATTAACCTATTATCGGCACACACAAATTTCGTAAATTGGTTTTACCTTGCCGTTATCTGGAACTCTTACACAACTCTCGCACAACAATTACAACACTATAATGCTATCTAGCTTTAGCCTATACGGGGAACATAGAATCGATTAAAATACATCTGAGGACACTTCACGTTTTCTACTACTAACCAATCACACCGCGGAAAAAAACTACAGAATCGCGCCCTTCTTCTATCACAGTCAGGATCAAAGTGAAAGAGGCGATTACTGAATTTCCTCAGAAAAGTCCCAAGGCATGATTACCGTAAATGGAAGTTCAACGGATTTCATTAGTTACGATCGTGAGAGATCAAATGAAGTATCTCTTTCCCTCTTCAATCGAACTCGGTCTGTCT